CCATTTGCTATAAAAAAGCGGCTCAAGGAGACAATTAATGTCAAATTAATGTTATTGCTGTGCCTCTGACCGGGAGGCCTGAGATTCGAGTTCCGTCAGTAGCTGGATTTTCGATCCGAACTAGGGAGCCAGGTCGAATTCAGCCGCTGCATGGGGGAGCATTCTGATCGATTGTTTTTAATGATTTATCCAATCATGCGAATGCTCGAGCAGTACCCTAACAAACGGGCCACGGACCGCACGAGATCTTTCCTTCCTCTTCCTTGTTCTATCCCCCCCTTCCGTACACACACTAACACTCACGTGCACTACACTACCATACACGCCGGGAGGCTTATCGGGGGCTTAGAGTTTGTCTCAACAAGGGGGGGGGCTGGTGAGAGATACGTGCTTGGGGAAAACCCGCAAACCGGCGGGTAGGTCGGCGCTGGATTTCCTTTTCAAGCGGGAGAACATCTCCAACACCTCCCGCGCTAAAATCGTGCACAACACCGACGGTGTGAATGATCTTAATGATGCTGACGCACCCGGAATTACTAGTGAATAAAAAATAAATACATTCGCGAGTCTTTAAGGTTGCGAAAACATTAAAAGCACGTAAACAAAGGAGTAACACGAAAACAAAGCAGAAGCGCATCGGAGGTTGTGCGGCGGCGGCGCCCGCTAGAGCGCAGGTCCAGCGCTGGCGGCGGCGGCGGCGGCGGCGGAGACTGCGGCCATGGCAGCGCATCTCCCGCGGCCGCTGGGCGAGAGACTTGAGGCTCGAACTGAGAGGGCGCGGGCCGCGTTCGTCCGCGTTCGCCCATCCAAGCCACTCTCTGCTTGTTAACAACGTGTTTTTCTCACTTGAGCTGGGCGTTTTATTTACCCTCACCCAAAGTTCGTGGTGAGGGGGAAGGGTGGTAACTGAGTAATCAATACTGCTCGGCTACCACGCTACTCACTGCGGAGAGTATTCGGGCGGTTGACGGTCGATACGATATCCTGGTGCAGTATTAAGGAAATAAATGTTATTTTTGTTTGAATGTTAATGTGTTGGGACACAGCGTGGATGACTGTTTATTTCATTTATATTTCTAACAAATAATCCCAAATATCCCCATTTCATGTTCTATCGTTATGAACACTACGATTAAATAATTTCAACGTTGGATCAGTGATAATTCTGGATTCATGATGTCCCAGGAGCAGTACATTTTGATTTTATGAGCCTTCATTAGAGTTCACTTGAGGCTAAAAAAAGTCATTGCGACCGCGACAGGACTCGAACCTGCAATCTTCGGATCCGAAGTCCGACGCCTTATCCATTAGGCCACGCGGTCGACTGATGTTCTCTCTCGTTCATTTACAATTTATAATATAAATGTGGAAAGTTGTGGACACGGATAATAGTTATTAAATATTTCTTAACGGTAATGTATGTATGTGCATAGAGTAATATCTCGTACACATGAAGACGCTAGTCCCTCTGCTAATTCATCTTTTCCGTTAAGCGTATCTGAGTCAATTTATCAGATCGGTAAGTTGCTTTTTCGAAATCCCATTACACTATTTATCTTTGTTATCGCTTCGCCTACTCATTTTCCGATAAAGCATCTGTTGCCCAAAAAGTGTGAACGGAAACCATGCTGCGTTGGCACACTTTTTCGAAAGTACTACAGGGCAGCTAACGACACAGCACTGACACATACTGCGATGCGCGTCGACGTGAGATCGCCTTCTTCGCACTTGTGAGATATGTCGTTGGCGGACATCCAAGATAATTATGTCAGTTAATCTTCCTTCATTATCGCCATTCGTTGTACTAACTCATCTGACTCCATTGGAAGGTGATAATGTGTCTTTGCAAAGTCATTACCTGACGGGTTGAGTTGTCCTTGAGTTGGACAGTGGACGAAGATATATATTCGACAAGGACGTGGTTCAAATCGTACAACTTGAGAGTCAATTCAATTCCTGGTTAGTAGGTATCAATTCATTCTATTTTGCGCGATATTTTATTAATTTGAGTTTGCCAATTTATCAAAACTAAATTGTTTCCAACAATATACTTTAATACTTTCAATTCTGTTTTTATTTATTCATCCCGACATGGCAATTTTAAAATATATTCAAAACTTATGATTATGTCTAGTCTGGTGTTAGCGTCATGCTAATACCAAGTGTCATTTAACATTATATTCAAGCATTATTATTATTATTATTATTATTATTATTATTATTATTATTATTTCAATTTTAGGCTTTGGAGTTTTGTATGGAATAAAGTTCGTAAAAATAGTTTATAAGTATACTGTACCAAAGGCAGAATATAAATTTAGAGTGTTATTGAAAACGTGCTGTTTATCAACGTTTCGATATTGTATATCGAATTAAAATAATATTGTTTCGAGAAGAAAAATGAATGTCCGGTGTAAACACGTATGTAAGAACTTGCTTGTGATGTATTGAACATGTTAGTTGTACTCGTAGTCTCGACCACGCAACTGAAGCTTCATAGAACCATGGGAGTAAGGAAGAGACCCATCGTACCCTCGTGGGGTGTCTTCAGCTCCTTGTTTCTTCATCGGGTGCTTCATGGTCTCATGTTGCACCACTCCCTCGTGCAGAGACCGGGATTGGGAAACTGGGTGCGTGAGAGAGATTATTCTGTTAAGGTTGGAAGGGTTATTTTAATAGGGTTGTAGGACGAAGGAGGAAAAGGAATGGGAGAGAAATGTTGAGAAAGAAGAGGAAAAATTCAAGTTTTTTGTTTCTTTTTGAATTTTTCTATTTTTCATTTATGTTCAAACGCAAGCTAAACAGCTGCTCGAGTACGACCCTGACCATAGAAATGAAAGAGGCCGCTCTGGCCAGTCGCTTCTGCCGTGGGTTCTCCGACCCACTCCAAGTGAAAGCCGGAGCAGAGCCTTGAACTACGGGTCACGGAAATACGCATATCATTGCACTTACTCAGGAACGAGCAATGGATTGACCCTCAATCCTAAATGCATCAATCGAACTACCCGGTAGGCGTGATGACGCGAGTCTTTCAACCTGCAAAAGGAAGAAAGGAGAGAATTTTATTGGGAAGGTGATAGTACAAGAATTTAATGTGTTCTTAATCATAAACAGAAGCAGATTTATACTTTTGCTTTTACAGTGAAGTTTTGGAAGCATTTGATTTTACAAATTCGTACTTTTAAGCGATTAATCAAACAAATTGCATTTAGATAACCGCGATAGGATAAAAGTACATTTTAAATTAATCAATAGCTTTCATCAAGCTTTCTTCCAGCCTTCTTTTAATCAAGAATTTTTCTCGTAATCTACTCCAGCTCACTTGTCTGTGCCTTGAATTATTTTGCCAGCTATTAGTATAGGTAAGTATAATTATATACTAAAGTAAGATTATAATAGTATAGTTATATAGTATGGGTAACATCCACATCCACATTCATATGGGCAGAAAATCCACATTCATACTGAATATATTGATTCCCTTATTTGCGAGAAAAAGGTTCACTAACAGCCCGATGTTATATCACGGATATTTAATATTTGAAGCTCATTCCACCCGCATTTACATGTACTGCGCGCTGGGAACCAATATGCGCTTTGTGATTTGTAAGAGTTTAACCCTTGTACACTTACGGATAAAAGCTCCTGTGTAAAGCAATGCTATGGATTTCGTCAAGAGGATTTAGAAGGTACGCTAATCATAAAATACGTTATCGTCGCTATCAAAGCGTTGAAATAAACCAGGTGAAGGGTATTTATTGTGAACAAAGAGATTTTCAGAAAGTGAGACAGTATCTATAAGCAATGAAGGTTATGGAAAGAAAGAAATGTAAAAGACAGCATTAAAATGCAAAAATAAACATTTTAAAAATGAAAATTTTATGAGAATATCTTTCAGTGTTTTCAATTCGGAAAATACATAAAAATTAAAGATTCTTATTTTTCGAAACGCAATATTATTTTCAGAATTCCTGCGTATTTTTCCTATTTTTATTTGAATACTCACAATGAAAATAGTACGTATTGATTGGTTATTTAGCCATTTCGTGCGCGTCAACTGCTAATGTTATTAGTTCCGTTAGTGCAGTGCATGGCGTATTCCGGTAGGTGGCGCTGCTCCTCTTTCGCTAGAACGTGAGATCCTCCGTCGACGTGTTGGGCGGCTCGCGGAGCTTCCCTCTCTTGAGGTCCCTCACCGAGCGGGGCGCGCTATACGCTCCGACTGGCTCCCGAGAAAATGCAGTCATATAGTGCATGCAAGTGTAATTGTTTGTGTTGGGGAGGAGCGAACAAGGAGGAAATAAAGGTCAGTGCAGGGATCCGCTCCTGCATTCAACTAGTACTGTGCAGAGAAATCAAGGAATACTAGTTTCCATCGGAGCAGCAGTCCGCTAGAATTGTCCTCCAGACATTGCAGATATTCGGCTCGGCTATGTAGCTAATGCTGGAAACATTCCACCGTCACGATGCCAACTCTAGGACCTCCTGTCACATTAGTTGAAAAAACAGGTCATAAGCGACATAGATTTACCTAAAAATCTTCAAAAATTATTAAATTTAATTAAAAACCAACATATTACGGTTTATTCTAATTATCAAATTAACAATACTTTAAAAACTATATTAGTTACCTAAATAGGATAAACATTATAGTATATGGATCAAAATCTTCTTGGACGATATATCAACAGAAAATGACACACTTCCCATAACCTACATGAATTATACATTCTACTGGTTCTACTGCTTTACATTCGGCAATAAAATATAAATATAATGTGTCTAAAACGTTGAAGAAAAATCTAAAATTATCCCTATCACTCAGTAGGAAATCCGACATGACTTTCTTCGTTTTTAATTAGATTTATCTTGGAGTCATCCCTAAAAGTAAGATCAATGTTATTATTGTCAAGAAGTATCGCTTCTCGGTTTTGGGGCCAGGATCCAAATGCAGTAGAGCGAGTGAAGAGTCCCCAGTGGCAGCAGTGGTCGGGCGCCGCATGGGGCCGCCGGGGGCTGCGGCGGTGAAGCGGGGGTGGAGCGACGGCGCCTGCGCAGACATGGTGCTCGCCGGCGACCTCTGGCTCTCCGTCAAGGCGCGCGGCGCGCCGCCTGCCACCGCCGCCGGGAAGCTGCCGCCGTCCTCCTCGCGGTGAGCGCGGGAACTAAGCGCTCAGGGGAGGAGCATGTCCTACCTTTTTTTTTTTTTTTTTTTTTTTTTTTTTTTTTTTTTTTTTTTTTTTTTTTTTTTTTTTTTTTTGTATTTCCTACCCCTGGTAACTGCCATCGATGGTAAAAACACATACAAGGTTATTTGCTTCCCCGCATACATTCCCCTCCAACGGGTTTATATCTAGATGATAAACAAAATATCCCTTCACGTTTACCCTTAGACACACGCCACTTTTGAATGGGTATGGATGGTTTATTTCGGAACATTCAGCACTAGTTTGATTATGCTTCCCTTCACGCAGCGCTGAATGTCTGTCGAGTGCTGAGGAGAGTTGCATCATCAGCCTAGGCGTCCCGAACATATCAATACAGGACCAATGAGATCGTTTTACTGTCCCCGTTTCTCAGAATTTAAATCTTTACGTTTATTTTTAATGTGTATCAAGAAAATTCAGTTATCTTTAACAGTAAAGAAAAGTATTATGCATCGCTCTAAGAAATGCCAATTCTTTCAAAGCTCCTCAATTATCAAATATCTTTAAAAACGAAGGTTTGTTCGAAAAATAATATCTGTTTTTAAGAATAAGCAAATGGAGTTTACGTACGTGAACCCTTGAACCCTTGAACCCGTGAACTCTTCATAATATAAAAATTCATCGACTTTTCGTTTTCAGGTAAGACGACACACCCCTTATCACATCTAGAATTTAATTGTTAAACTACTGGATTTGATGCGACATTGCGAAATGACTGAAGTCACAATCAAAGTCATCAGAAGAACTAAGATGTTCTATAAGCGATACTTTTGCAGCTATTGTTATTTTATATTAATCCGTTTATTTCCCATAACAATTTCGGGTGATGAGGTCAAGGAAGATCACCTACTGGTGAAAAGCTTCAGACTTTATAAGTTAGGACTAATTGCTGTGAAATAATTGCTGCTTCATTCATAACAATTTTTGACTGTTCGAAGCTGATCCCTGTGGTTTTGCTTGAATAAAAAACATTTCAACAGTGCATATTCGGAAAACGCTCATCTGATGTACGAAACGTTTCCAGCTGCAATGGCGCGGGCACGTTTCCGTCGCTGGGCGGAGGCAAGGACGTCGGCCAGGGCGAGGGCAAGGGCCGGCGCGGGGCCAGGGAGTGCTGCGTGCGCTGTGGCTTCAGCTGCCCGCCGCCCCGCGACGTGCTGCTGCAGTATTCGGAGGAGGCCTTGGTGCACGGTGTCCACTACTTCACCAAGCAGGAGATCAGCTGCGCCGAGCGGTGAGAGCGGGCCTACTTACACCGTTCCCGAACCCCGAGAACGCCAAATCGGCCACGGACCACACAATAAATTGCAATATCCTCAAAGGATCATTTTAGAATTACAGCAACCAATTATACATTTACTTAGCAATATATTACAATCATTTTCTGCATGTTTGTGTTAAAATATTTTCAGTATATGATGTATGACAAGGGCATACATATTTCGATCTTTTTCTGTACTTGCGATCCGTACAGCAAGGATTATGATGGCCAAGAAAAACTGAACTTTTTGAAGAACAGGTTCAACATTTAGTTTCTGCAAAAATAAACGCAATTCCTACAAGTCAAAAGTACGATAAGAACTGAATTAAAACACTGACATCAAAACACATTTTTTTAATTTGGCAATGATCAAAACAATAATAATATCTTAAACTTCAATATTCGTCACCAACATTAGACCTTGACGGAAAAAAAGAGTATTTTTTCGCTTGTCGTGCCCTCCAGATTGCTGTGGATGGCGGCGGTGGCGGTGTGCGCCGTGTTCGCAGTGGTGTTCATGCACATCGCGTGGGTGAAGTTCATGGACGCGCCCATCACCACCACCGTCAAGACCACCTTCTACCCACTGTACCGGTTGCCTTTCGCAGCCGTCACCGTCTGCCCCGCCACGAACGTGCGCCGCACTGTGGCCGAAGAGCTGCTAATGCAGTGAGTAAATCTTTTCCGTATCTTCTAATTTTTAATGTACTGTGGTTAACATTGGTGGAACGTTAACATCCAGTCCAAGGGCTATACCTCTCTTTGTTCACAAGGGCGCAGAAGATTGATTGATTGATGGATGGATAGATGGACGGATGGATGGATTGATGGACGAATGGATTGATGGACGGATGAATTGATTGGTGGACGAAAGGATTGATTGATGGATGGACGAAGGATTGATTGATGATTTGATTGTTGTATTTGTTGATTGATGGGTGTATTGATTCCTGTTTCCGGTTAAGTCACTTGCTATGGCGATAAGTGATGTGAATGAAGTTAGGTGGTAGTGTTTGTTCCCCACTAGAATATGAAATCCTACTTGTCAGCTTGCGGGGAGTTCCTCCTTCAGCACGGCATTGCCCCAGCCGGGTGATGCCGTAAGCCCCGACTGGTCATAAGTGAATGTGTAATGGAATAGGATGAGGAAGGAAAGCGGGGTCCGTGATCGTTTGTTAGGCTACTGCTCCCGCATTCACGTGGTATTGATCGGAGGAACCACGGAAAACTACTGATCAGGGAATTCTCAGGCTGCTGGAATTCTCCATCCGACAGCGGCTGACTCGACATAGTCTAGTAGGCTGAGTCGTAAATGCACTGTCGGGACTGGAACCCAATTCCCTCTCGTTCAGAGTCGCTGCAGAAAGAACATTCTGTGGAAAGTTACGTATGAATTTTTCTGCAATTTTTCCCATTTTTTAAGTAACATAACTTGCGGATTATACAAATACTTATTTAGTTTTAAAACGACATACTCAGTGACTCAATATACAATAATTCTGGGTAGACCAAATACCCAAAATTTTCACCTTCAGTTGTATTTTCATCAATGGTTATCCCCAATCCTCGCATTGTTGTAACATTTCCCTGATAAGAGTAAATATTAGTACTTCTTTCGTTTATGACGCACTTCTTGGTGAATTGTGAAACTCGAGCTCAAAATCAGTTCCCGCTTATATTCTTTAAATCTTTTTACAAACTCAGTGGATACAATAAAGAGTTACTATTCAATTTCTGCTTCGTTAGATACACAGTTATGAATTGAGCATCTTTGTTCTTATTTTGAAATTGTATACTGCTTGCTTGACAAGTGACCACTACAGATTCATTATAAAAAGGTATACGAACTAAAGCTGTGATCAGATTAATGTCAAAAACATTGGTTCCCAAGCATCTGCTCACTATCTCATTAGTGTTTATCTCTTCAAAGAGATAACGTAATGAACAGCCGATGCTCATGCAGAGTGTCGGAATGCCCCGCTGAGAAGAGCTGTCTGCGTTGTTGTTTGACCTGTCACTTGTAACACTTGTCTGAGTGGGGCACTTTACAGATCTGTCACATTCTCAAAATGTTAACTCATTAGAAACAAATTTTCTATTATTACTATACAGAAATTGATATTTCTGTCAACTTATCGTAATGAAAATAAACTAATAACTATAAAAATATAAGTTTGCAGAGGAACTGTTGTTAGCAACGTTTTTCAAGAAGATTTCATATTTTATCGATCTTCAAAATTCTTTATTTACTCGTTTCTGTTTTAATCCCAAAGTTTCTGCAAACAAATTCAGGATTAATTTAACAAAACCTATGCCATGGAAATAACCCATAAGCGATGATGTCATAACTCTATAATCAACGTGTTTATTTTTTTTCGCCTGTTGCAGAGCATAGGCTTCAACAGTCATGAATAATTCATTTCTAAAAGAGACGCACCATTAATAATTTCCTCATTTGATGTCCAAAAAGTGGAATGAAAGTAAAACACAGCATAGCTTTTACTTGTGCCCTGACTCTATTATTAATAGAAATAATTTAAAATCAACGGTAGCCACAGTACTAGTACACTCACGACTGTATATCAAATAATGTACATCTATCTCGTTATTTAACTGCAGGTAATATATGTAATATGCACTTGGCGCGACAGCTTGTGAACGGGCTCAGGCCTACCGGCGACGTCCCTGCCCCGCGGCGATGGGTTAAGGGGGTACGTGTGGTTAGCACGTAGACATTCCCACGCCATGTTCCGGTCTTCTCAACCTCAATTGAATTGTATCATCGTCACACAGCAACATATAGTACTAGGACATTGCAAGGGATACGCACACTATAATCTTGCCTGACTGGAAATCGAATCCGGGGCCGCGTAATGGAAAGCAAGCACGTTGACCAAGAGCTAGCATTAACTGTAGGTAATACTGATCTTAATACACAAGTTAGCACCGAAATGCTCTACATACTATAACAGGGTTGTTCAACTGGCGGCCAGCGGGCCGCATGCGGCTCGTGGTGCCATTTATTGTGGTCCTCGAAAGGTTATCAGATAAAAATAAAATTCCCTTGCATCCAGGCCGCGTGAGAATACTGTGCGTCTAGCGCGCGCCCTGTCGCGGTCGAAAATCCTTTAATGTAAGTGTAGGTTAAGTTTAGATTTAAGATTTATTTTATTTAGTAAATTCAGAAATTGAAAATCATCCCAAATGTTTCCCTGCGTTATGCATGGTCCGGCCTTATATCACGTATGGTTCCATTCCTCCCCCCGTTTCAGTGTAGCCTGGCAAACTGCTGAGAACAACCATATGGGGACGTCAGGTGTGGATCACCTGTGTAATACAAATATGGCCCGCAACTATATTAAAGGTTTTAGTTGTCGCCCTTGAAACTTTGCATATTGGACACTCTTGTACTATAACATATGTGCATGTAAAGAATCGGTCCATGAATCACCTAGGAAAGAAACATTATAATATTCTATCGTCAAAATTCTTCCTCTCCAAAATCAATCACTCAAGCTCGTGTGCTATTTTTCTTGGATCTGTCTGTCCCTTTAGGGGACTCACCAGATCTAGCTCTTGTTTCGGGTGGTCGAGCTGTAAATTGCTCCTGCTCTCCCCCATAGAAAGACTTCCCCTGCTGAATCCGCTGCGAATGCGCAGGCACCTGGGCGAGCGAAGGCCCAACGAGACGTTGCAGCGGCAGATGTGGCACGTGATGGCGGTGCTCTCGAAGCTGCAGCACCCGTTCTTCCACACCGTGGACGCGCACCTGGAGGCGGCGGCGCCGCTGGTGCCGCGTCTGCAGACGCTCAACATCTCCAACTTCATGCTCAAGGTAAGGAAAACCACCCAACGGCAATTACGAGATCGGTAATTCGGTATGCTACGTTCTCACTTCACTTGTGTCACTTGAAACTAACGATCATAGAATATAGCATAAAACTTTAAGGTATGATGTATCATTTTGTTCAAAAGTAGTTGAAAAAATGAATCTGGTAAAGACAGCAATATTTGACTAACTGAAAGAATTTTTGTAATACTGATTGTTGGTCGTAGACATATGTTTGCTCTTCTGATACATTACAGAAACTAATGGAGATACAGAGTGGCACACACTTTCCTCATTAGTTCGTTTTCTGAAGACTTTAGCTTAGGCTAGCTTTTCGATATTGTCTAACCAACCCGTAAAGACTCTACTACGTATACTTGCTACATGAACCTGTGAAAGCGTTTCCAACCAGCAAACCAGCTTTTGTCCTGAGAAACGTTTGACACCTTTTCACATCGACTCTACTGTTTCAAAGATAGCGGCGCTATTGGAAATTTATGTGTCTCTAACTCGTTGCCTAACCCTATTACAGTAGTGATAAAAAACGCATCACCTAAAGAAAATGGGCATTCTGTATATTCCTGATCCAATCTGCTCTCAAACATTTTAACCAAATATTAGTAAAAATTGGTAATTATATATTTTATGTGGATTATATGATGTTCCTGATTCCATTATCTTCATCACTCGCTCGATTTTCGCAAATCAAGTGGTGTATTTTCAGGATTACATTGCAGATTGCAACTGTGAGAAAGGTGACGCTGTTTTTTATCCCTACTGAAGAGCGTTCTTTGCCAGCGCATAAAGAGCGTGCTTGCTGCGCAGGTGCTGCCGCCTTGCGAAGACGTGTTCGAGCGCTGCTTCTGGCAGGGCAGCGAGGTCTCCTGCTGCGAGGAATTTCGCCTGCAGCGCTACGACGGCGGCCTCTGCTACTCCTTCAACTCGCTCACGTCCGACGAGAAGAATGGCTGGTAAGAGAGCGTGCAATTGGGAACACTTCATTATCTTCATAATTAGACTGGAAGCATGGTCCAAGAAAATACGAAGATCCATGCTAGACATTAATAAATTTTGTTACGCTCGGTTCACCGTAGCAGTTTCAAGGTGGCTGACATATCGTCACAATGCTTTCTGTGGTATCATTATAACGCTGTAACGGGACGTACTATTGGACTACAAACATGTGCAAATAAAGAATGAGGATAGAATAAGAAAAAGAAAGGAAATATCTTGTGTGGTCCATACTCTCTTTGTTAAGGTACTGTATTTCATTTGCCTGGTGTTGATCGAAAAAAACAAGTAAAATTACCAAACAGAGAAGCCGGCCGATAGAATTCATCTACTTGAGCAGAATAACTAGTGGGACTGAAATAGCGCGTACTTTCTCGCCTCTATTTTCACACAAAATACTCGTAAAGTACTCAAACTTTCGAAAAGTTGTACAAGAGCTTACTTTAAAATATAACGTTAAGAAACAGGTTTCGTCAAGGTAAAAAATATCTATCTTTAATATTTTAATTGTAAGAAGGCTCCAAAAAAAATTAAACTTCTAGAATTTTCAAAAAATTAGGGCTTTTAACGTAAAAAGTCTTAAATTTTCTCACTTTCAAACTATTCTCTTAAATGTTCTTTACACTATCTAACAACAGAATTTAATCAAAAAACGATGACCCAATTTTATGAAAAAATTTAGAAAATGTCACAGGGCTCCATGTAAACTACCTCCAATAATTAAAATATTGGTTTCAAATTCAAGGCGCCGCGACATTCGTCAGGGTGATAAAAGTTTGGATCAAATCAGCTGAACTGCTCTGCCGCTAGCGTTGTCCACAGACGAACGAACGTACGGACGTTTTGCCATCATTCGATTGTTAGGTATCAAGGACCCACATGGATTTTGGCTGCACCAAGATGGTGTAGTGATAGAGAATTTTTTTCCTAAATTTAGGAACTGAATTTATATTCTTTTTTGTTATCCGCACCCTGTAATAAGAAATAGTCTGCCAAAAAGTTGCTATTTTTTAACGCAGCATTACATAACTTTCTCTCTACTCCATAGCGAGAAAGTAAAAATCATCAGACGTCAGAACTGTTTGAAATAAATTATAGATGTCTGAAATGCACTTTTACTTTGTCGTATTACTTTCTAAGAATAAAGTATTGTAATATTGTGCCGAAAATTGGCAATTTTTTGACAGAATATCTCTTATTTCCAGCCCCTAGTGTCTAAAAAGTGGATAAATCGTGTTCTTATTTATAGAAAACTGCTTTCTCTAACACGTTGTGTAATCAAAATTCATGTTTTGTGGGATCCTTGTCACCGAAAAATCTATTGACGGCAAAAACATCAGTCTGTCCGTCAATATACGGTCAACGCTAGCGCCCGAGCCATTTAGATGATTGTCTCAAAAATTGATATTCTTCGATACGATACGAACGCACTGTGAGTTTGAAACATATTTTATTCGTGGTGCAGCTCTTGCGTGTCTGGCTGCAGAGCATAAGGCTGCATGTTCGAATCGCGCCTAATACATGAGTGAAAACGTTTATTGCTCTCAGTGAAATATGTCAGTAAATACAGGGGCAGGAGCCTTTGACATGAGCACCGTGGCACAGCTGCTGCCTGTCAGGCTCCAGATCGTACGGTTGCGTGTTCGAATCCTGCCTAGGTCATGTGAGGTGAATTGTGTTGCTATTAGTGAACGAGTTAGCAAATAACGAAGAAGAGGGGCTCTGATGCCGACTCTATGGCATAACTGACTCCAACGCGTCTGACCAATTCGAATCACGTCGGTGTCATATGACTGTGACATATGACATATGACGAATTTCATTTGATGGTATTTGTCAGTAAACAATGGGAATGAGGAGCCTTTGACGCAGACTCTGTGGCGCGATTGCGCGTCAAACTCCAGATGAGATGGTTCTTCGAATCACTCCGGGGCTTGGGAGCTGAATTTTATTTCTCCTACTGAAATAATTCTGATAATGACGGGGATCAGGAGCGTATGACGTGGATTCTATGGGGCAGTGGTAACGCGTCCGACTCCAGGCCAGGAAAATCCAAGTAAGTTCCCCAAAGCGTGATTAGCGGTGGATTTTCCGCTGGCGTTCCATTGGGAGATGAATATCCTCACGTTCCGGAATATAACAGGCACTACACTTACGAGGATAGTTAATATAGTATTGACGCCCCAAAAACACTTAAATAATCAATCGTCTGTATGAAAATTTACATTATCTACGAGCGCAGAATCACATTCTCCAAAATACGGAGCAGACTTACACCGTTTACAATTCGCCGCACTGGTGCGCGCTCAGGGCAGCTTTCGTGTTCCATTTGACCGCTAAGGCGCACCAGTGCAAATATGCCCATGTTTCACTCCCACAATGACATGGAATCATGGCCCTTCGGGGCGCCCCAGACACTGAGAAGCTCGCCAGTGCAGGCCATTGCACGAGGCCATTTTGGAGAATGTTGATTTAGATTCGTGGTAAAATTGTGAAGGCAATTGAAGGATCTTCTGTCACGCAGGGACACTTCAAATGATGGAATATATCATGTCTTTTAAAAATAATTTTTTGTGAGAACTAAGATGGGAAAATCAGTTTGTGTTTTCCTAAAATTGGAACATGAATAACTTCATGTTAACAAATCCAGTGGTATTTAGTAGCTACGTCTCAATTTCGAAACGCTAATAAAGTAAGAACAAATATAGTGAGTAATGCCCTTACAAAGATTTAAATATATGTGCCAAGGAATGTTTCTCGCACGCGCATGCATACGCCAGCGGAAATGCTAATGTTAATATTTTTATGATTTTGAAAAATCAAACAATTTTGCAGAAGACTTGCGGTTCAAACTCTAGTGTACTATATCGATCACTGGCAAATCTCGAAAAATGAAATTTCGACAGATACGCGTTTGAAGTTTTCGCAAATTTTTAAATAAAGAAATCACGCGTTAATAATTTCTGAATTACGGAGTAAGAATTTCCAAAAGTTCTACAAGTTCTGTTAAAAATAATAATTATTATAAAAGTTATAACAACGATCGTAATTGAAAATTTTTCGAGTTCTCTCAGTGTGACAAACGAAGAACGGCTGTGTAATATCACGGCGCAGCGCACACTCACTGACTCAGGTCTGGAATCCGTTTTATTCATGACTGCCCTTTATGCTTGTAGGGCAGCACAGTTGCAGAAAGATGACTTTTTGCCCTACTCTAGGGTGGGTTTCAGTACAACGAATGGAAAACGCCATACCTCGTCAAAATCCATCATACCTCTTCGGAGTCCATCTAGTATTCTCATATTCGTTATCAATTATAGACAAATAATGATTTGCCTGTAATATTTTCAAATGCTTGGACGTTTGCGTGAACAGCCTGGTGTCGAGAAATGCAGCGAAAGCCAAAGACCGAGGCAAGCGATTATTTTGGGCACCTGTTTGGGAAACAGGAAGTCATCAAGTTGTAAGCCCTCGCCCCACTTCAGAAGTGAAAATGTCTCATGTGACACATCTTGAGTCTACGAGTATAATGAATGGATGTCAAATTAATGTTTTTTTAGTACTTTGAATCAAATTAAATATAGCTTGTAATCGTTTCCAAGCATTGTTTTTGTATGTGTCAATATTGTATTACGTCAATTGGTGTCTTCCTAATTATATTTTATAACTGTTATACTGTTATTATTTATTATGTGTATTATTATATAACACAATTGAGTGTGATTTTCCATATTCGTATGATTTGTTTTTCTAACGGCAGCGATACGCAGGTGTACGACTCTTCAGCAGCAGCAGTGAACGAATCGGATGGTTGCCTCCTGCGCCATAACACGGCGTGTGGCACGGCGTCTGGCCTGGAAGTTTACCTGCGACACTTCCCCCAAGAAGACTCTCTGGGCGACGGCCAGCGCCTCGGGCAAGGGCACAGGGTGAGTGAGTCGCCCTGCAATCGTCCATACAATTACGCTCTACAACCGAATTTTATTTGGACAAGTTTTCTCTTTCACTTATGTCCACATTTATGTCTAGAATGTCCAAAGTAGTTTTCTTCTCATAAATAATCGTATCTTTAGTGCGGTTCTAATTCTCGATCGACGTATCTGTTATAAGCTACTTGATGGGTCTACGAGACCCTGGGGACAGTGCGTTCTATATGTAATCACGTCACCCAATTAAAGCATCGATTGACAAACGAGTCACATTGCTCCGATGAATAACATGGGTACTATGATGGACTCGGCATTATGAGTCACAGCGGAGTGAAAGTTGGTTAAAATAAGGGGTTAAATTAAAAGAAAATTATAGCTTGGTTAAAGTAAGGAAGTAGTTGTCCCGGGAGATATGACTCAGCTGAGACTTTGGCGTTCGGTAGACATCGAGGTGTGAAAATGGATTCCAAACAAATATACGTATAAATATATACATACAAACTACACTATCGACTCGATTGAAAAGACGTATCATTATCTTATATTTGTGAAGAGACCTTTCCTCCGAGGTATCTTTGGATATGATATTATGTTTCCTGAGGAAGAGATATGCAAAGGAACTATTCTCTGAACAGTGCTACGAGAACCGCGTCTGATGGTAACGATGTCGGCTATTGGATTGGATTTTTCTCTCGGCTGTGTGCTGAACTGCTTATAACTGTACTGTCTGATAATATTTTACTTCTTCTATACCTTATCCTATTTAGCTGGGGTCGGCTTTTCGGATCGCTACTCTCGAGCTGTTTCTATTTTGCGCCATATCCTCTGTGACAGCATTCTGACACATCCCCTATTCAATCTCTCCACTTCTTTCGGCGACCCCGCGCTCATTTACAGTTCTCTATTGACTCCACTCGGTGGGTAACGTACTTTAGAGGTCTTCTCAAGGTCAAACTACTGAGGTCGCCTTTCTTGAAGTGTCTGTGTTATCAGCCTCACATTCACGGTTCTTCGGATCTCTTCATTCCTCATTTTGTTCTTTCGCGCCACTCTACAAATACACCTCAGCCTCTTCATCTCCGCTACGAGCCACTTCTGTTCTTCTCTCTTCTTCGTTGTCCAATATCCTTCCGTTGCTCCTAACTGAATATGGCAGGGCGCAGTACAGTTTTGTAGATTTTCCATTTAAGGCGTTTTGGTACGGAGCAGTAACACAATACTCCAGCTGCTTCTCTCCGTTTTGTGCAACCTCTGCTTATCCTGTTAATTACGTCTTCCTTTATTTCTGCATTTTCCTTTACTACTGATCCCAGATAGTTGATCCCTGTCTTGTTACCATCTCTTCTCCGTCCAGACATGTTGTTGTGTACCGTTCCTTTTGTACTGAACGGAGCTATATCTGAAGGGCGATTCCGCAACCTGGCTGGGTTATGGCTACCACCTGGCAATCAGCCAATTGTAGCCAAATAAATATATTATTATAACCTATGAACGCGCCCGTTCGCAGTCAACACGTGCGTTACCCTAAGTCGGGCGCGTGGTGTAATACCCTAATACTATTACGGTTGGTATTGTGCGGTGAGTGTTTCATTAAACTGTTGTTTAAACCCTTTGTAAGTTGTGCTTCTATTTGATATACTTCACGTGTCACGTCTTGGTGCGCAGGTGCTGGTGCACCAGCCGGACGACTTCCCCGAGGAGGGCGGCAGCATCTTCGTGCCGCAGCAGCGCCTGGGGCTGGCGCTGGCGGGCACGGTGAAGGTGTCGCCGTCGCTCACTGAGAGCAGCGCCGAGGTGCGCGCGCTGCAGCCCGCCGTGCGCGGCTGCCTCTTCGCCGACGAGCGCCGCCTGCTCGTCTCGCGCCAGTACTCGCTGCAGAGCTGCCTGCTCGAGTGCCGCCTGCGCCACTTGGCCGCGCAGTGCGGCTGCCTGCCCTACTTCTTCGCCGGCCTGCCGCTGCCCAACGTCTCCGAGTGCACCTTCGCGCAGATCGCCTGCCTCAGCAAGCACAGCGGTGAGCCCGCCAGGGCAAAGAAAATTTCCTCAAGACTATACACAGTTCAGTCACATTAATGCAAACACCGCGTATGTTCGACATAAGCGTTCAATAACCCTACCGCGTACCCTAAGAGGTGGTTCAAGGCATCAACTGATGTCACTGCAGTGCCTCTGATCGGGAGGTCCTAGGTTCGATACCCGCCTAGGTCAAGAATTTAGTACCCTATCACCCGGGCCACCGGCCGAGCCCAACCTTTTCTTCCTCTTCCTTGTCCTATCCTCACCGCTTACTTGCCCACACATACACTTACACGAATTGCACTGCATGCCGGGAGACGGTCGGGAGCTTAGAGCTTGTCCCGACCGGGGCGGTTCGCCGCTGGTGGGAGATCACCTGTCAGCAGGGAAGATCACCGCCATCTCCCGAAAAAAATACACTACACTCACGGGACTAATAATATTTGCAGTTGACTGTTAATTTTGCCTCCATTCAAAGTCTCTCAAAATTGTCTGCGATAATGTTTATTTCCAGATCTCTCATTTAATTATTCCTCATTTCACTTTGGTAATTTCATTTTCACTCGCATTATCAATACTCATATACGCCGTTAAAGGGCTACCTTTGTGTGACATTCTGTGTGATAAATTCAGTTTAATTCAATAATTCATTTAATGACGCACTAAGGCCTGTTGGTCAGGCAGCAAACGTAAAACTACTACTCTCTAAATTTCGGTAACGTTTCTTAAGGTGGCAAGCTACAATAAGTTTAAGAAAATTTCTAGACAGGTTCATTTGGGGTAAAATAGCTCTCAGTGTGACATTCGTGTATTCGTGTCGACATTCAAAACGAATGTCGCAGAACTTTTAATGTAATTCAAGTGTATATTGATTTAATTCTAAACAGAGTATGAAAACAATCCTATCATTATAAGCAATCTATTCAGATGTTATTTGCTGTCAGCTTGGACGCGCGCTGAAATATTTATATTAATCCACCGCATAGGGTACAGAAGATAGGGTACAGTGACTGCATTCGTTTCAGAATGCGGAGTTTTTATTTTAAATACTTGGTTTCTTTGGCGAGAATAAGACAACTTAATTTACGGTATTGGGATTGAAGAAAGGATATTATATATTCAAAATACGGGGAAGGGGAGTACAATCATTAATAGTAAGGGCGAGTTGGCTGCTCTGGGGACAAAGTTGAAAATGACTGTACGCGCGCGTATGTGCGATTTCTGGGAGCACACTGGACCTTATCGTCGATGTACATACTCTTGAGAGAGTGCGGCGTGTCTAAACGACTGTAATAAATGACAGCGAAACTAAATCCTATTTAGTCATGGAACTTGGCAGTAATCGCAGAGCAAAAAATTTTACCTGGTGGACCCCTAAACCGGTTCAGGAACCTATTATTACTGAAAATAAAGAACTTTTTGAAATGGAAATAAAATTTGTATTAAAGAAATTGAATTGTGTTCTACTATTCGTTATAATGAATTATTGCAACGACGTTTGATATCGTCCTGTCGTTTTTGACGTGTTATCCCTAGAGTTAAACAATTTTCCGATAATAAAAAAGCAGATCCCGACAATTAGCGTTTTCTATACTAAATAGAGCCAGTCTGATAATCGCTTGTGTTGCGCAGCGGACCTGCGCTTCTACCGCCCGCCAGAGCGCATGCGCGGCGTGGAGGGGCGGCTGCGGGAGCGCATCTGGCAGCGGCTGGTGGACCGCGGCATCGACTGCTCCCACTGCCTGCCCACCTGCCACGACAGCACCTACGACCTCGAGGCGGACGTCACCACCGACAACAAGCTCACCTCTTCCAACACCACGTACCTCGACATCTTCTACAAGGATCTCTACGCCGTTAAATACGGGAGGGAGCTCTCCTTTGGGGAAACAGAACTGCTGGGTAAGTGCACTATTTCTTATGAAAATGTCAATAAAAATGCACGTATCGTACATGTTTTTGTTACTATTTTGTATGGCTTCTAAAGACAAGTCATAATCATGGCATCAAGACATGGCATCAACCCCTTTGGAGTTCGTCAACTAAGTTATTACTTAAACAATTATTACATTATGTTTCCGTTTTATTTCGTTTTCTTTGATCAATTTTCCTAATTATAGGTTAAAATAGTGCTGTAATTGTTACGATTCTGGTCAAAAAATTAAGTTGCACAGAGAAATTAATTCCGCAACCACGTACTTCGACATTAAATGTCGACATCAGGACAACCACACAATGTCGAAATTCAGAACGCACAAGTGTATTAGAGTAGTCGCGATAATCAGAGGTAAAGGGGACAGATGGTTCCTCGGTTTACAAAAAACTCGCCTTATACACAAGAAAGCAAAGTACACAACGAAATTTTCAACTGCAGTGTAAAACTAAGTCAAATTTAATGTGCAAATTCCTTTAGAGTTATAGACACTTACATAATATTTCAGATTACAGTGGTCCTGTAATAACGCACTGTACAATGTATAAAAAAATGAGCGCGAACCGGTCACAACAATGTAGCCTACTGACACTGGCACCCACCGCCGCACACGTGACCATCAACGCAGTGTTGCCAACCCGTCAAGAGCCAGCTCTAGATTATCGTCTGGATTGCTTTTTTGAGTAACTTGGCGCACATCAGGCTTTTTTTTTCTTCCCATCTCCAATTGCACGGAATCTTGGATTGGCAGGCTCGGGTTAACGTGAGTCTACCGTATGTGCTATGAACTTACCACCCCCAGATTTAAATCCGATAGGGACACAGAATCGAACGAAATTGTGCTGAAAACAAAATTCCTATTGCGTTGTTCTGCAGTTTATCTAATGTAATCTTCCGTTGCTGAGCGTGGGGGTGCACGGGTAAGGAATGCCTGGTCCTCGTGTGCGCAGTGTCGTTCGGGGGCATCGCTAGCCTGTTCCTGGGCGTGAGCGTGCTGAGCGGCTTCGAGCTGCTCTACTACCTGTGCAAGCTGTGCGCGGCGCTGGCGTGCGGCGGCCGGGGCCGCGTGGCGCCGCGCAGGACGCCCATGCGCGTCGCGGCGCGCGCCGCCGCGCAAAGCTGTGGGGCAGCGGCGCCGCCGCCCACACGCCGCCGCCCAAACGCCCGCGCCGCCGGGGGCGTGCGCCGAGAGCGGTGATGGCCGCCCCGCGCCACGCGGCGCCTGTCGACGCTGCGCCTCTTCGGGTCCGCGTGCGCGCCCGCGGCCGAGTGGCCCGCTGCGCGGTCTGAGCGCCTCGGCCTCACGCTGCCTCTGCTGAGAGAGGAGCCAGATTGTACTGTCCATGCAGTTTCCTGCGGTCTCAAAAGGAGACGCGGGAGGAGTGGCGGGTAGGGGGGGGTCTTTCGCCGACAGGACTATTAAATCATGTCAGAGCGACTATGGGAGGGGCACTTATTTCGCATCCTTGCCTTCCGAGTTGTCCGCTGGCGCATTTGATCGCACCCATCCGAGGGTGCAATGTGAAGTTGGAATGAAGTAAAGTGGCCAAATGGTGCTTATTCGCGCATGTTCTTTTGGGCTCTGATTTTCATAGAAGCGTGGGGAGTGTGGGGGTGGGATAGATAGCACCCCATCATCCGAGTGACTTATCTGAGTGCGCTGAGTCTGTCGCTCAGTTACTGACGCTAACACTTATTACTCGGGAGTGAATGTTTCGTACACGTCAATGTCAAGAACGTTCGTTGCTGTTATTCATATTTCTACCCGTACGTATGCATTTAAAAGATTTAAGAAATGAAAATGCCTACGTACTTTATCCCAAACTGACTTTAGTTCAATAATATCTCTAATGAAAATATTTATTGTCTAAAATATACGTAATGTTCGGGAATATTTTATCTACATAACATTTGATGAACAGGATTGTATTAAGTGATCCTTTTGTTGTACAATAGTACTCGCATAAGAAATGTTTGTTACATCTTTTACATGCAATTTTCTGGCGTATATATTCCCAAAATCCGAATTGTTCTATATAAACATTTGGAAACGCGAAATCCTTTCATTGAATCCATTGTCTTATACAGTTAGCGTATGTCTTTTACACCATTCTGAAATATTAGCTATTTTCACTGCAAATGGATACCTTTTCTCTTATTTCCACAACCGGTTAAAATGACAATATAGTACATCTTCCATTACTACCTAAATGTAAATTAAACATTGTTGCTAAAAGCTGCAGAATATATTATGATGTAATTTGTGATAAAAAATATATATTTATGTGGCTTACACATCATATGATGGCATTTCCTGATATTAACAAATGGTATTACTAAGCAAAACAATATTGCATGAGTTTATGAAACATTCTTAATGAAGATTCATTATTTTTCTTTATTTTTGTAATTATGCAAAAATGACATACAGTGCCTGTATTTTAATAGACGGAAACGCTATAAACTTATTGCAAATTTTACGTTATGTAAAAATTCAAAAATGGCTTGGAATTTAAAACAAATGTGTTTTTTAAATGATGTAAATTACGCATTTCTGATGTACAATTCATTAATTTTATTAATGTCATAATTTGATATTATATATAAAATATAAATTAAATACTTACACTTATATGCTTTTGTAATCTTTCCAAACCGTTCCTTCAGTGTGTCTTAACTAATTCCAATTATTTCACAGTACAACTTTTAGACAACAGCAACTTATTATTTTGCTTTCTCTTACTTTCTGTGTTATCTAGTGTAAGTTGATTGATTTTAAACAAAGTTATTTGATTCAAAGCAGCTCTCACAGTTAGAGCAAAGTTTACAAAAAGGAGATACACAGTGTATGACAGTGTATACATCTTTAGCTAGGAAACGAGGGCTTTTCACCACAAAAGTGTTATTTTTCATTTCGTATGGATACAGAACACTAGTTTTAACCTTTCACAAGCATCATTGGTGTTTCAGAGCACGCCAATTGCTTTGGTCATTATTCCCCTTATCGAGGTGCATGTTTTAATACCGGGAGATGGCTTTCTTCCTCCGGTGAACGGTGAGACCCAGTGCGTAACTACTGCGCCGTAACCAGTTCTGGCCCGCTCTAAGCTCCCGATTGGTCTCCTGGCATTGTTCATGTACGTAAATGTTATAGAAGGGAAAGGATAGGCCAAGAAAGGGCATTTCCTTCTCGAAAGATAGCTCTCGGTCTGTGGGCCTTTTGTTAGGGTACTGCTCCGGTATTCGCCTAGAACCTATCGACGAAACCACGAAAAACTCCCGACCAGAGCAAGCGGATGCTGGAGCTGAAATTCTCTTCCTGTCAGCAACTGAATTCGACCTAGTTACCTAGCCAGAGTCTAAAAGTCGCAATCGTCGGCATCCGAACCCTAGGACCCTTGGTTGCGCTCCCCCCCCCCTCCACTGTGTGTTGGGGTCGTCGCGTCCTCGACGGTTAATAAAGATGTTAGACATGGGTGGCAAGGTTTGTCACCAATCTTATTTAATCTCTATTTAGATGACGCTGTTAGAGAATCGAAACAGAGGCTTATTTTTTTAAATATTACCGACAACTTTAGAGAATCAAAATATGTTAAAACCTTTGCTGACGAACAGGTACTTATTGCAGACAATGAGAACAAATTAAAGAGAGCTCTGTTTGAATTACAACGAGTAATAGCTGAGTATAACGTAAAAATCTCAGTAGAAAAAAACATGTCCATGTCATTTCAATGTAGTTTTGCCGAAATATGTAAACTGGTATTGAGTGATAAAATCATTAAACAAGTCCGCATTTTAAAGTTTATAGACTGTGATATTTCATACACAGGGAAGTTGATGTTGAAAGAAAATATATCGTTTGAATCATATATGCGGTACAATTAAAGGAACTCTAAAAAACAAGGGAAGAAGAGACATTATCTTAAATACTTATAAAACTTGAGCTGTTCCAACTGGCCTCTGTGTAAGTGAAACGTTGGAACTCAATAGCAAATCCCACAGTAGAATTCAACTTCTGAAAGATTTTTGAGATCAATATTGGACTTTACTAGAGAATATAGAATAAGAGATGAGGATGTAAGAAATGAGTAAGGGATATTATTTTTAATTGAGAAAATAAAACAACGCAGGTGCGCATGGGCAAACCACGTACAAACAATGGAAAATTCTGGAGCTCCAAAAGAAGTGACGGCACCCCGCCCTGAAGGAAGTCGGTCTGTTGGACGCGGAGGGAGGGCCAATGCGTGCGCAACGAGTCTACTGCTTGAAGGGCCCAATGCTTGAAGAACCTGGAACAAGATGGATGCCTACCGTCCCCTAAGGTGGAAAAGTCACAGTTTGTGATTGGCCAGTAGGGCAGAGCGGAAGAAAAATGGAATAGGAAAAGTAATAAACTTGTGGAGATATACCTCCCTGGTTGGGGCATTTCGTATGTGTAGTTAAACACTATTGATTTTAATTTCACGAGTGGAATATTCAATGTTAAAACCTTTAGGTCAAAGTGGTTTTCAATGGCGGTCCGCCGTCTTTAAATATTTATTTATATTTATTGCTTGCTTCCTGCGAACCCTTTTTAATTTTAATTATCGCACGTCCGGGATTTTTGTCTTATTTCCACTCGCAAATTCTCCCATACGGTTGTGTAGTTGTAATCGTAGTTCCACCGCCCTGCAGTTGAGCGCGCTCTAGCCTACCAAGCGGGGAGGCTCAGGTAGTCGAGTGTCAGCACGTGCGCTGCAGTGGTATACTGCGATTTATGCAGCTCTGCCCCTGGCAAGTATCAGCTATTGACAGTTTCGTCCAATCGAGAACTTGAACGTAACCATAGTGACGCCACTATGGTGACGTTCAAGCTCCCGCTTAGATGAACCTGTCATCAGCCGATACCTTCCTGGGACACTTGTGATAATCGCTGTAGAGCGGTCGGTCGTGAGCCGAGGACGTCAAACGCAACGGCTTTCCCTATAAGTTCCGTATTTCTATTATCTATGGGCACTGCGCGCTGCCTCGGGTGCACCATGTGTACGCGCTTACTCGCGCGGAGTTGGCAGCCTGCACAAACAAGGAGACGAGACAAAGCACTCTGTACAGAACCATATCGCCAGACTTATCGATATCGATATTTGTACCAGCAAATTGTTTAGTCAATGTCTGCCTAATTACGACGTACATGAAATAATAAAAATTGATTATTATTTTGTCAATCAGTCTTTTCGATAAAACGCTTTCGTTGTGATAAAACATATGAGAAGCAACCCGCTATCCACAACAGCCTCGGCGAGAGCCGAACAGTATTCAGAACGATTTTTTCTTTCATTTCTCGGTATACCAGTTGCATTATTTTTGTATTTTTTCAAGTCCCTGATTATCTAAAGCATCGCCACCTCTCACATGGCTACAGGCTGCTACGTTTTCTCCCAACTTCTGCGCGCAAGCGAAATTAATTATATATTGAGCCATATTTACTATTTCTTCACTGTTCAGAGGTTAAATATGCGTTCACGTCCTCGATATTAGCACAAATAGTACGCATTTTGCAGCGGCACTGAAAGACCTTACTCTTCACGTTTGTACTACGTTAGTGATTAATATCTTCTGTTCTGCACAGATGCGTCATATCCTCATCTCACTGTGATCCGTGTCCCGCCGCAGTCACGTTCGAGCGAGTACATCAAACACTCACTAGAGCGCAGGTCTGGTCACCCCAGTTCGCACCGCGCCCAAAGAGTTCGCGGCCGACAGAACTGAGTCAAATAAACTTTATTCAGTAAAATCGAGCCATTCAACATCAAAGTAGGGAAAATTGATTCATTAATCTGTGAAAGACCTCGGATTCAATTATCCGACATTTTGAAAAGACATTTTAAACGAAACTGCCGAAGACTGATACTCCATGTTTCTGCCAAATATCCTAACCTCGCTAATGTGATGTGAATATGACTTTTCATATACAAATATCTCATGTATCAGAAATATTTCATATTTAACATTAATCTCAGCAATTTAAACAATTTAAATTCAAATACGTGAAGTAATTTGAGGACGAATGTCTGGTGCAGTCAAATGTATTACGATAATGAAATCAACTATTCTCCGGAGAACGCTGATCCGTTCTGCTCAAATTCTTAAGGCAAAGGTTTTTAATTCGAAGCTACTATTCGTTGTGAGTGCACTCGCCACCTGCCGCGTCATGATTCT